AAAATGAGAAGTACAGTTTATTTAATACATGTTGAAGTAGACGGGGAAAACAGCAAATAGGATAACACACTTACTCAGACACTGAGATGTGTGAAACAAAAGGATCAATACTCTTCAAAAACAATTTTAAATATATCATCAATCACTTAAACCAGTTAGGCACCAATCATTTCAAAATGTCATCGGTATAACCTAATTCATAATTTTTGTGAGTTATGATTTCTTCCATGAATGTTGTGTTTAAGCTTTCTTTATTAACAAAATCCATATATTGTTTATTATATCCGCAGCTCTATATATGAAACTCATTAAAGAATTATTGGAACTGTAAACACATGATGCACCTGTCATGACATGAATCTTTTAATATAAAATATTGAACACCATGATCTCAAAGCCTGCATCAGTGAAGTGGTGACAAATGAAAAGAAGCATTTAATATAGCTCCAATGGTGCAATACAAAATCAATGAGTTATTATGTTGCAATAGTACTGTCAAACTGCCTGTGACTGAAAGTCAACACACTGACCTCAACCCAATCAATGTGATATAGAGTGGTTGTCAATCAATATGCAAGCATTGATCTAGCTCCTTTCTTACAATTATGCCCACAAATGCTACAGCACCGAGAAATCTTCAACTCAAGTATGCACTGAAGTATTTGTTAACTAGGATAACAAACATTCATAATTTCTTGTAACAGAGAATGTAAAGTTTGCCAGCAAATGAACTAACATAATTGAATACTGCAGTGATATTTTCATACTTATAAGGAAATTGCCACTGGGAAGCAACATTTACAACTCTGTTAAATAGCAAGCTAATATTTAATATTCACACTTCTGTCTGGTAGAACATAAATTAATTGATATTACTTGCACTGTTAACTTAAGCCATAATCATATATTTACTTTCTGATCTGGAAGTAACCGTTGTATTGTGTGTTGTAAAATGCAGCCTTAGTATTAAGTGCTTTACAATGTCAATTAAACATGGAAGGATGAACTTTTCTAGTATTATCATTTCATCAGTAATCATCTTCCTAAGAAAATTAATGAAGGAAATAAATAAATAAACAGCATGAACCAAGATCTTTTAGTTTTAGAAAAATCTTTACAGCTACACTGAATTCACTTGAGAGCAAAAAATCAATATACTATAAATAAATTCCATTTACTCTTATATAAAATCTATCAAATCAAGTCCACTACTTGACCTAAATAAAAACAACATTTTTATTTTGATTCATTATGACATTTGACACAAGATTAGGCCAAATTTATATGACAATTTTAATTCTTTCTTTTTTTAAAGGGAGCAGAAAGCTGTCTGAGCATAATTTCCAATAATGGTTTTACAAGCCTAAATGCTGCAACAACCAATCTTTCTTATTGACCAGTCCCTTGGGACACATTAATGGAAACCTTGCATTCTTTAAGTTTTGATTGTACAGGAGTTGTCAATCAATCAGGCTTCTATGGACAAAACAGAGCATCAGTCAGTTAAAAGTAGTATTTATTACAAACTACAAGATGACATTTTATATTGCTCAGAATAGCCAGTGAATTAATCTCATGATTCAGTATCACTGGCATGTTTTTAGATGTATATTGAAAGCATGTCAGTATTAGATGAATTACTTCAATTTCAACACATTTGTACCCATTAGGAATGGGACCTATATAAACATGCAATTGCACATGCATTTTATGCATTACTAGGTATTTACAGGCACTTAATAACCTTAAAGCTTCTAAACGGCTCAAATAAAGTAGTTTTTCCTACCTGTCTTCTAGCATCCTTTTTCACTTAACAATTTAGCAGACAATTTCTGTAGAGAGTTCAAACTATAGAAACATTTAAAAACTTACCCAAGTTCCTATGGAGAAGAAGGAGAACGCTATGGCTGCCTGTGGATTGCTGACATTGACTGTATCTGGATGGTTAGATTTACTCCACTGGTTGGTCAGATAACAGAAGCCAACAAACCACAGGAATGTCCAGAAGCCTGTATGTGAAAAACAGGTAAACACAATATAATGTATGATGTATTCAAACACACACACATCAAGGAAGCTGTGTTTGATTATTCTAAGATTGATATTATTCTGCTCTGACTTATTTCTAAATGATTTTTGCTAACATATTAGTTGATTTAACATGTCTTACCTGAAAATGCCATATCTGCCATAACAACCATCTTCCTCTGTTGGACACTGCTTAGGTTTTCAAACAAAGCTTCCAATATAAGGAAAACAATGCAGGCCATGAAGGCAATAACTCCAATTGCAATGCCATAGTTACAAGCATTTGGATCATTGTTGTACACACATTGCCCCTCATAGTAGCCTCCCACTGGACTTGATATACAGCCAAACACAATTATGGAGAACAGCTATAAGAAATGACAAACACACAATTATTCTAGCATATATATGTACATTGCTATCATAATCAAACTTATGAAATACATGTACATGCATGGTGGGGTGTGGGGTGGGAATGAAATCCCAAACAAAAAGTATGTTGAACTGATCAGTAAGAAGTGTCATTTTGTCTCTATTTGTAGAAGTACATACAAAATAATGTATGCACAGAAGAACTACATAAGCATATATCTTGACTTTCTTTTTCCCAAATGTGCCCCAATATGGCATATATATATGCAAGTATACTTGAATTCCTAATTTCATTGTGCATTGATATATGCTCACTAAATGCACAAAGAAACTAGGGAATTCAATACAGCTCAGGACCTGTGCTATATTTTATGGGCACATTTGGGACAAAGAAAGCCAAGGTATGTAGTATCTCTATGCACTTTTTTATGTACTGTACTTCTCACAATTTGACATGAAAACAGACCAAATGTTGATTTTTATTTACCTACTCAATGCAATTCCCATTTGTTCATATGTGCACATATGTAATGAGTACAATATGCATAACTATAACATTGGGACTCATAAATGTAATTGCTTCTTATATCTATCCTTGGCTCAAGGGCAACGGGAAAGGAAGCTACTAGTATGAAACAAAAACCAAAATGAAACAAAATGTAAAAGTCAACACTAATAAATACAAACCAAAACAACAGAATATGATGACTAACAAAATATGACGTTAATATTAATGGACAGCAATAAGTACAATGTCATCCTTTTCATTTCACAAATACAGGTGATATTGATTTTATTGAAATAAATATTCTATATAATTATATCCATTAAGTGCCATTTGAAATCAAGACTATGTCATAAGTTCTGGTGAAAGTAAAGGCATAGAATCAACACCTAGTACAAAATTTACTCCAATTATTGATCACCTCGAAATGCTAACTTTCGTTGTTCAAATTGCGCATAGATCCACCATCTAGAAATTGCTGTCTTTGCAAGACCACGCAAACCAGGGGCATGACTTCTGCAATTATTTAACCTGGAGATTGCAAAAAGTATAAATATATCTCAATTTCATGCAGCTCAGACACACTTACCAAACTAAATAGTCTAAGAATCACACTTGGTTTCTTGATAAAAGCTATGGCATCAAACGAGCCACCAGCCATCCCTGCTCCATAAGCTTGGCCTTCCATCTTGAAACTTCTAAATTTAGCTCTCACAAAGATATCATGTGCTGGTGACGTCAAAAGTTAGGTTGGTGTAAAATATGACACTTATTTGAATGAGCATTCATAAAATTTCTGTCATAAATATCAATGTAAAATATTTCCCATTCATTTTATTCAAAGTGATAATTCTTACTTTTTTCACACTTTCATTTATCACAGATAACAATCATTGATGACGTGTGCGGAAATATTGCACCACGAGCCACCAACATCCGGGTATTTATATCTCGGCGCCATGCTCTATGTTACGTATCTACCAGCTAGCAGACGGTTTGACTTCGCAGTACACAGAAAGAT